GGTATACTATATATTCTTTTTGGAGGCAAAGAATGAATGGAAAGATATATAGCCCTGGAGATTAAAAAAATGAATCAGAAACAATTGCTGGAAGTTTGGTCACCAGTTAAATAACAAACTCTTGAAACGGAATGTATTGAATAGTTGAGCTAATTTATGTCATTGGGTAAGGTTGTATTTCTTAAATAACAGGTGTATGAAATTGGGTTGACTAGTTTTTAAATCCAGTTTTATGTTTCTGGAAATGTCAAATTTTACTAGAAAATCTCAGTTGCCTTTATTTTCAGAAAATCATGTAATATTTACAAGTTTTTAGTAGCACCCACTGAAAACTGAAGCAGAATTTGAAGAGAAAAGTCAGACCCATTCCGCAGGCTCAGATGTAACAGAAGTCCAGAACTTGATGCTAAAAGAAAAGTAAGGAATACCAGGTGCGAGTAGATTTCTATTAAGTAGACACTGGGTTCTCATTTGAGAAAAGTAATTAATTTTAATTCAATTAAATACTTATGGAACTCCTACTGCATTTAACATGTGACAGTTAAATAGGTTGGAGGATTGTGGTAGGCAAGTGAGATGTAGTAGATCAGAAGCCAGAATGCCTGGGCAGCAGTTCTATCTCTGCCACTAACTAACTAGCTGCGTAACTCTGAGTAAGTCCCTTAACCTCTCAGCCCTCGGCTTCCTTATTTATCAAATGTAAAACTAGATAAACTTTGAAAACATGCCTGTCTTAAAAGTATATGTGAATCTGAAACCCCAGCCTTAAGTCTTTTACACAGTGATATTATTCCAGACATAAAATATTGTACATTGAACAATAATTGCTATATTATGACTTCAAATAAAATAACTGCTTATCCAAGAGGAGGAGTAATAACATTCATTTAAATAAGTCATTAAGAATGAATTGTTTATCCATAGTGGAAGTTTTAAGATTTTTAAGAAGTGCTAAATGTTTATACTTGTACAAATCTGATCTCTCATTGTCTGCATGGGACCTTTTGGACAGCAAAGAAGAACACTTTACTTGGAATGAAGCTTGTGTGAGCTCCTGCATGGTACTTTACATTTCTCTAATTAGAGAAAGAACAAATTTAAGGAAATAATTTCTTTTATTAAGAGGCTGTCACACTGGGAGACCTAGCACTTTTTACAGTAAAAACATACATGAAAACTATAACTCCATATATTAAAATTTTTCTTAATTATAAAATTAAAATTCAATTATTGGCAGCCATCAGTACAATTAGAAAACACTATTTTTGATTCTTATTTCTGCCTCCAGACATAGACCATTACTATCAAAGCAGTTTGTGAGTAAGAATGTCGATTCTGGGTTACCACTCTGTAAACTAGGTAGTAAAACTGGAGTGTTGCAAGATTTAAAATGAAATAAAGACTGGTAGAAAAGAGTCAGTATAGAATAAAAATCCAGTTAAAAAACAAAAACAAAAACAAAAGTAGTATCATTCGGTTTGAAATAGAAAAAATTAGTTGCCAATGACTACAGAGCCAAATGACTAAATTCTTTACTACCTTTAGTATTCTGGATTTAATGCCTAGATGAAGAACAATGTTAAATGAGTTTTTAAAAGGCTTCTTGAATGAGTCTTTTAAAAGCCTCTTTAAAAAAAAGAAGTTCAAATGATTTTATTAACTACTTTTAAACTGAAAAATATAAGGGCAAGGAAGAAAAAGACTCAAGCGGTACAAAAGGGTAGGTAGTCTGTCATTTGATTTTTTAAGTTCCTTATTTCAAAAATTCCCATTTAATAACAAAATGAGAAAAAGAGTATACATATTAAAAATATTATGAATGTTTGGGACATTAAAAATACTTTTTTGATAAATATTTAAATCCATCGCTCAGGTATACATAAACAGAGTTAGCAGTATATATTGAGAGTATAAACATTTTTAAGCCAAACTTCAGAAGAGCTTTATTTAGATTTCCTATCACAGCTTATATGCTACCTTATCAGCAAAGCCTTTCACAGTCATTTATTCATTAAAAACATTTCCATGGAGTACCTACTGCATGCCAACATTATTCTAGATGCTGGAGGAAGGTATTCAATCTTATTAGTAATTGGGAAAAACCATAATGAGAAACCTCTTCCCAGACAAAGAATGACAAAAATTAGGTAAGCAGAGCCAATCTCACATGTAGATGAGTATATGTAGAACAATAAAAACTGTCTTCATTGCTCAAAGGAGTATAAATTGCATAATCATTTGTAGCAATGTTCTTAACAGAACAAACTGGAAATAATTTAAATATTCATCAACAGAATAAATTATGGTACATTTACACAAAAAATTATACAGCAATGAGAATAACCTACAGCTACATTTAAAAATAACCTATTAAATTAGGAAATTTTTTTTGTCTTCGGTGGTCAGCAGCTGTAAGAAGACAGACTATATTGCAAAAGTACATGGCTTATTCATTCCTGGTACCTACAATTTTATGTCTCTGACTTAAATGTTCCTGATGTCCAATTTGCCTGGAAATTTTTTCCATTTTTCAAAACTCAGCCCAGATGCTGTTACCATCTTATCCCTGTATAATTCAAAGGAGGCTATATAGCATATGGTGGTTAAGTACATGGATGGGCTTGGAGTCATATAGTCTGAACTAGCATTCTATCTCTGTCACTGACTAGGTATGACCATGGGGAATTATTTAATACCCAAAAGCCTCAGTTTTATTGGATGTAAAACATGAATAATAATGATGCTACTTACTTCACAGGGCTGTTGCTGAGATTAAAAGAAATAATGGAAGTATACTTCTTAGCGTCTGGCACAGAGTGACTGTTGAATGGTAGCTACTACAATGCTATACTTTTCATTATGTATTATAATTTATTTATATGCCTATCAACACTGTTAGGCTGTGAGCCCCTTGAGGCTATGTATTGTGCTTCAATCTTCTTTATCTTCAGTTCTAAACCCAGTGAGTAGGATATATAGTGGCTGCTATGATAATAGATGGGTGGTAGGGTAGGATGTGGAAAATGAGATAAAGAAAACACCTGAATTGGGACCCACGTTCCTTTCTCTGTATGCCATGAAGATAGCATACATGTTGGGATGTGGGGAGGATTTAGCTACAGCTCTTGCCAGGTCTGGGGCCACAAGGGTTTCTGTGAAGGTCTTAGCAGGATTTAAGAGACTCCAAAATAAAAAAACTTCTATGGAAAGCAGGTAAAATTAGGAGTAAAATTAGGAGCAAAATTAGGTAAAATTAGGAGAGGAGTTGTAGTGATTGGGAGTCGGAGAAGGCATTTAGATGAATCACAGTAAATTGCAAGAAGTGAAGATAAATCTCCATTTGCAATGCTAACAGGGAAAGATAGGGGCTCTTGTGGCTAGGTCAAGTGCAGGATTCACTTACTGAATGCATGCAGATTCATGTGTCAGGAAGGAACCAACAAAGTTAAAATACCATCATTAATTGCCATTCTTAAGATTTTAAATATTGATGAAGTGTCCTAAACTAATGTCTCTGTAAGTAGAACAGAAAAGAACAGGCCAAACTGAAGTTACTTAATTATTGTGAGTGTGTTTCCATATCTATTGAACTGAGAATGCCAGCATTATGTGGGATTATTAAGAGGGTTAGTAATAATAAATATAAAGTGTCTGACACAATGTTTGGCTGATAGAGGGTACTCAACAGTAACTATCATTGCTATTTTAGTAATCAACAATATAGTCAGTCATTCATGAAAAAAATCTGCTTAATCCTCAAAATTATAAATGGGAGATTGTTTTAATTTAGTCATAATTTCTTTGAGAAAACCTTTGAACACAGTGAATAATTCCTAGGGTTCTCAAAAGAATAAGAACTTCTAAGATACACTTATTTGTAACTTATTCTTTCATATATGGCTATTAGATCAGAAGAGATTATAAAAAATGCACACGAATAAAAGATTATAAGTAATCCCTCAAATGTTATCATGGCTGAAAATCAATATTTACAGGAATGACCCCCAAAATTTCAGGACAAATTAAATTAAACCACATCTAAAATTTACCATTTTTGTTACTGTTTTATTTCTTCATTCAGAATTTACTTAGATTATCACCTCCAGGAGGTATTACCCAAAACATTCAGACTTTAACTGAAGAGTGTAACACCAGGAAAGGGTAATGTCCAAACTTTTTCCTTTGAGGTTTAAATTAATTTAGTGGCCAAACAGTCTTTTTCTTTTTAAATAAATGAGGTTTATGTTACCCATTCAAATCTTATCATTGTGAATAAACATTATTGCACAAATAATTCAAGATAAGAAACGTGCTTTCCATTCATGTTTAGCAATATCTTACCATTAGAAAATGACAAGAAAATTGACCTAGAGCCACATTAAAAAAAAGTGTCTCTCTAATCAAAACACAGTAGTTTAAAATTTTAAATTACTTAATATATTACTTAATATACTCTAGTAAAACTATCTGAAATTAATGAGTTGAATTTCACAGATTCAAGGTAGTGTCAGTTTAAAAAGTGTTCAGATACTAAGAAATCTGTTAACTGATATTAGGCAAGTATCCTTTTTTGCAATCTCGGTAATACCACCATGAAAGGAAAAAGAAGACAAGAGTAAAAAGACTTCCCTCTCTCTACAACAGTAAATACCACAAATCTAGTCTATAGGTATAAAAAAAATTTTAGTTTAAGTGATGTAACTTTGATACCTAAACCAACTATTGAGGGTTTTCAGATCATAATAACAAATAAAATATTTTCCTTGCAAATATTAATTGATCATTTTACGTCATGATTAAAGAGGTTTAAGGAAAATAAATCAATATTGAAACAGAAAAGTTCTTGTTAAAAAGAAGACAATCTTCTAAAATATAATTATAATCAAGGATTCAAAGAGAATATTTATCATGAAAGAGTCAGTCGTAACCAATAATAAACTGTTGTTACAATACAGGGGAAGGAAGAAAGAAATATGTGAAGATCAAAATTTATCACTTACCTCATGATGCAGCTCTGCTATCTGATCTTTCAGTTCCCTAATATACTGGTTAGAATCAGACTTGTTAAGCTGTCCTTGAAGCTTTCCTTCTTCTTTCTGTTTTGTGACAACATAACAAAGCAAAAACAAAAGACAACTTTCACAGCATGTATGCAAATATTTTGAAAATACAGGACAGCATAAAGACATATCCTTTAACTGGCTAAATGCTGAACAAATCTGTTCTCAAACTAGCTCTGAAAAATAATTCATAGTAAACTATACCGACTATTTCTTAAATAATGCTTAATGGAACTTGATTACAACACATACGACTTACAAAACGTACTTTTTAAGAGACTCTTAGAAATCATAGTTAAGTGCATCTACTGGCAAAAAATTATCCTAGAATTTCAAAGCCATTTATCTAGTTATTTTGAGGACAAATAATTTTGTCTCCATAAGAGATTCAGTGCTTAGTCAGAAGGTGGTGAGCTTCTTATAGCTACAGTGGGAATCTGCTTTTGCTTGGGGAACAGAGAAGAAGCAAAAAAGAAGGTTCTCCAAACCACTCTTAAAAGGGGGGGCCAGCTCTGAATCTCTTCTGCTTGATTAGCTTAGGGATATGTATTGGGAGTCCTAGAAATAGCTGATTAAATGTGCTCCACTCCTTAGAGCTAGTTCCAGAATCGTGTAGGAACCATTTTCCAGGGACAGAGATTGTAAAGGGGGAGAAGCTGCCTTTTTCTTATACCACCAGAAAACGTTAAAGATTTAAAGGGCTTACTAGAGAGTGAAAACAACTGTGTTTGATATATCCAGATTATTTGGAATTAGGAAGCCATATGTAATGCTTAAAATGTTAAAAAGCCCTGATCCAGAGATTTCTACTAAAACTACTGAGTAACTCTTGACACCAGAAAAGTACCTGGTTACTTTTAATAGTCACCAACCACTCAGTCTCCTTCCATGGAGACAACCACTGTTAAGTTTTTCAGTGCAGTCTTCCAATGACATTTCGTACATATATAATCAAACACACAAGTATATACACATATTTTTACTTGTACTATAGATACTTTACACAGTTCTATATTTGCTATTATCTCTCAAGAATACAACTTGAAGATCATTCGATATCAGTACATGTAGAGCAGAAAGATAACTTTAATCTGACAGAGCTTTGAAGGCCCTGTAAAATTTATCTTAGTGCTATCTGAATATCTATAGGTTTTTTTGAAGTAAGAGAGTACTCCCCCTGCCTGACTGCTTGAATACCTATAGGTTTTTTAAAAGTAGGTTTTAAAACATGCCTTAGGTCCTGTACAGTTACCTGGAGAGTAATGGGTTGCAGTGAAGAGCATTTCCCAGTGTGGAGATCCCTACTGCTATCTTTCCATTCACGATAAGAAGGGACCTTGGACATCACCTGGTTTGGTCCTCTGACTGCAGCCAAGTCCACCCTCTGCCTTCTACATAAGCTACTCTAACATCCTTGGCAGAAAGAGGAACTAACCAGAACTGCTCCAGCAACAGAATGTATAGCTCTTCCATAGAGTCAGGGCCCCGTTCCAACAGGATTGCTCTTCTGCCCTAATGGTCTTTGTCACCTCAATTGCATTCTTATGTACCTTTAGTCTGTTCTTCAAATCCTTTCATCAAGTTGTTCCTATAAGCCTCCCCCCGCCTCACCCTCCACCTCTTGGGTTCTTTTTCTTTTGGCAAACTGCCTTCCAAACCTTTTATTAGAATATGGCCTGCTGAAGCAGTTTAAGGTAACTAGTATTTGTACAGATGTAAAATAACAACAATAGATTCTATAGGCTCTAAAGCTCTTCTTCTATATTTAAACGCAGGAACATCACATAAAATTACCTAAGCAAAGAACTAATTTAACAATTACTATATTCCAAATGTGCTAGGCTTCTTAAATATATACAAAAGACATCTTATGACTTTTAGCCATAAGCTTGTATTTAAGAAATTTTTTTTTTTGAGAATTTGGTTAAAATATTAGTTTGACAGCCAAAGAAGGGCAGAACCTACAGAAAAGTAGATACCAAGTTAAAGTCCTAATTAAATAATCTCTGACGCCTTCCCTACCTGTTTTCCCTTTATTATTTGAATGTTTACATGTGGATGTCTGTCACTTACAACCGTAAAAGCTAAAATATTCTGAGCACTTATCAGACCTTTTCCACTGAGGTTCCCCAAAAGAATTAGCATCATTGTATGTAATCACTTAACTGACCTCCTATACATCTAAAATGATACTATCTGCCATCATTAGAAGAAATGAAAAAAAAAATATTCAAATTATTTTCTGTAGGACTTAATTCTCTTGTGGAGCTGCAGTAAAGAAAAATTGGGGCTTACAATGTGCTAAGAATTGTTCTAAACCCTTTATATGTCATCATCACAACAATATTGTATAATAGGTAACCATTATTTTTATTGCCTAGATAAAGAAAAACTTAAAGATTGAGTGAACTGGTCGCTAAGAGTCACAGAAAAGTTGATAAATTTTTCACTTTATATTATAGCATTCTAAACATGAGACACAATGAAGCAAAGAAGAATATACGAAGATTTATGCAAAGGGCCTTGCGTATTAGCTTTCTTGAATTTGTTTTAAAATCTTATGACTTTACTTGAATATTTATTTTAGCCCTTGCTGATTTAAATGGGAATTGCAATATAAAATGAATTAAAGATGAAATACTATAGCTATTTGCATTTATTGCCCTAAGCTAATGATCCATATTATTAATTTACAGTTATCCAATACTACTTACATGTACCTATGTCTGCATCTTATTTTTAATCACTTTTAATCATTTTATTCATTTTTAAATGAAATATTTTAAAGGCATAGAACAAGAACAGAAGAGTAATATAATCAAGACTAATGAACTCATCACCCAAATTCAGTTTGTTTCATGACTATCTTGTCCTAAGATTTTCCGTGGCTAGAGACTTTCTCCATTTCAGTTCTGTAAATCCCAAAGTGGGAAAGGATGATATCAAGTAGAATGGAGAAAGTAGTGAGGGAGTGAAGTGAGAAGGAAAATGTATAAAAAGAGAAAAAATATATGGAGGGAGACTATTTGCTGATGTAAAATAAATGAAGCCATTATTCTTATAGATAATATTTTCCAAGTACCATATGTGACATGAGAAATGGTAGCAGCAACTGAGTAAGTAGACATATTTCCAAAGGGGACCAATTTGATGAGAATTCTTCATTTGTATATATGTGTTCAGATGTCCTTTTTGATGGCTTTTAATTTAAGCATCGTATATTAATTCCCTTGAAATGATTGATTAAGTAAAAATTACAATCCACTACTAGGAAGAAATCCTTCAGGATGAGATGGAAAGGCTAGATATCTGTGGTTTAGAATCAGACTTGGAAAAGGTACCTTTAAATCTGGTCCTCAATGGAGGCAAAAGTCTTGAGAATTTTGGATATCCTATAGCAATAATATCATGAGAGATACAATAAAAATTTCAGGGCAAATAAAATGGCAAAGCCTAAGGTAAGCTCTATATTATAAACTAGAAATTCAAGAATGCAGAAATACTGTAAGTTTGAAGGCTGCTGAATGACCAGCAACAATAATTAATACTAGTTCTTTCCTATAGGAAAACTTACATGAAAAAAATAGTTTGTCAAGATAGGAATCATCAAATTTGTTTTACAAAAAGCAACGAAGTGATTGCAAAGAGCTGTTTTCTCCAACAGTAGGTCTTAGTAGGGTTTAGCTAAAAACTGTGCTATCGCACCGCGATTCCTTTGGAAGAAAGGCAGTATTAAATAAAAAACAAGGCAGGTAAGAAATTGTACAATAAAAAATGGAAGATTTTTAATTTAAAAAAAAAAAAAGGCAGAGTATGATGCCCATTAAACTGTTTCTCTGGACACTTCCTGCCCCACATACTCCAAATTACAACTTGTAAGGCACACTGGCTAAAGTAAAGGAAAGAGGCGGGGAGATTAAGCAGCCCTGGGCTCTGGTAGTGACCCCAGGACAAGACAATCACCATCTCAGCACATCTGTCAAACATTAATAGCACACCAGTGTGACAGACACACCAGTTGGAAAGCTCTGCCTGGGGTATTCTGATTCAACAGTCCTGCTTTAAGGGAACATAGCTGATATTTCAAACACAGAAGTGCAAAGTGAGAGATGTCCTAAATGCTATTTAATAAATTAAAATGTATAAATAACCTTTTATCTAAAAATCTGTGATTTTTACGTTCTACATCTAAATATGTGAATTCAAAGTTTTTTAAACCTTCTTTAAATGTAAAAACTGAGTAACTATATATTTACAGTACCCCCCAAAATCCAATTAAGAAGTGGATATCAATTTAATTTTACCTGTGAGAGAGTTCATTCAATTATCTAATATTTAAGATTTTTTACAAGTATTTTTAAGCTTTCTATTTTAATGCAATGTCTGCATGGTCCTTTCTGATAAGCAGGTGGGAAAATGTCAGCTACACTAATAAATTTACTAGGAACCTGTATTTTCTTGAGGTTTTCTTTTGGTCTAGCTGATAACAACAACAGATTGCCAGTCAACTGGTTTCCTAAGCAAAACTAATTAGGTAAGTAACAAACTTAAAGAGATCCAACATATCAACAATTTAGGTATTCTGTAATTTCACTGAATAGACCTTAAATACATATCTTTTTGTCAAACAATAAAAGAAACTTTATATTCAGAGGGCATAAAGTAACATTTGTAAAAGTTTTAAGTGTATGTTTACTCTTGGAACTATCTTTGAATAATTATTAGGCAATTACCATATGACATCTATAATAATCTAATTCACATTAAGGCCTTAAACCATAAATAAGCCTCTTAATCAAAAGGTCATCAATTACTCTAGTTAATGATATGCATGTTTAAGTGATTAGAGGCAAAGTTTAACAACTTTACCTTTCTCTGAAATGCATCCAAAAATAAGGTAGCTAGAATGGTAGGTAGGTGAGTATCTGATAAGTCAATAAATAGAATATATCAAAATATTAATTTTAGAATGGAGGTGGTGGGTTTATAGTGTTCACCATACAATTCTTACGACTTCTGTATGTTTGAAATTCTTC